AACATGACAGCTCCACCAACACCCATCCTTCACTCCAACCACCCACCAGCTAACCAACTTGGACATTAATCCTCCTATGTTCAATCGACTTGCACCTCCACACCGTCTACGAGGCTCACAGCATCAGCTCTGTACTGCTCGTTCACATCGCCATCTCTACAGTCAACATTCCTTGTATTCCACCTACCCTCACCTTACTTCGCCTCCTTCCCTCACCATCCATGCCACCATCTGTCAATGAAAAACTGATGTCCCCTTGAAGCTGAGTGTTTCCTACAACTACTTCTGCTTCTTCGTCGGCACTGCGTGATCAACCAATGCTCCACGCAAACCATAGTGGAGGCGGAGACCGACAACTACATCTGAATTGGCCATCAATGAGCGGGGTGAAGGCGGGGCCTCCTGTGTCACTCACCTCCATCATCACCCTCATCGTTGCACATTCACTTGGTAATCGTAGTGTTGGGGATCAAGACGGCTCAAGTACCATCACCTTCGTTTTCAGTATCGACAAATCCGCATCCACTGACACGTCAACATTTGCACCATCGAAGTTGGCGGAAGACATCTTGATAGGCGGCCAAGTGAGGTGTGGCGTTGTGACGTTGTGCTCGGTCACCAACCCACCATAGTCGATCCAGCCTGCATTGTCTGCGTTTCAACGACCTCCATTAGGTGGGCGTTTAAATTGTCTCAGTGGTTGTGCTAATGTACTCCTGCGCACTGCACGGCCAATGCTTACTTCCACGCAATCGCACAATGCATCCACCCTACACCTTGCTGCTTTTCCTCCTGAAAACAGGCAGCAGAACCATCCATCATCCCCACCTTCCCCTCCTCCCCTCACCCACCTCCACTTACGCAAACAACAGAACTGCTTTGCCAACGTCGAGTGGGACTGAGCATTCGCCCCACCACCTCTGCTCATCAGGCCTGCATATGCAAGTCTCAGCGAGGTGCGAGCAATTAGCATTTGACACGCTTTTCCAAATCAGCAAACCCATACTTTGTCCCTCTCTTATTACCTAGCCCTTTTGACATTCTCCCACCACTGTTGCCCACCTCTCTTCTCAAGTGGTTGATGCACTTCACCCCACCACTGCACTGTCAACACCTCATGGCACCACAACCACCTCCTCGTCTACGCTCCTTTCTGTGTTCGTATTCCTGCTCGTCTTCTGCTAGTAGGTGGATGAAGAAGCCACCACCTTGTGCCCTTCTGTCGCATCACCGGTGACGCGCGAGATGCTGCGAAACTGTATTGTTGAGGATGAAATGCCACACACTCAAGAGAAGGTGGGGTATGGTAGCCTTGTGCCTCGCAGATGGCAGACCAATCGTCCCTCACACAGACGCCATATGTGTTGTTCGGTTGGCTCCAGGCTAAACTTGATGAGATGGGCACCTTCGCTTTGGTCAACTGGACCAATTCGATCTCAGTTATCGACGGTGTGACACAAGGAAGTGGGTTATGGAGTTGGGATGGTCATTCCTTCCCCATTATTGTTTTTTCCTGTATTATTTGTTCTGTGTTGCAGAAATCAGATCTTAGGTTTGGTGGGAGGCAGTTTCATGCATCCAGTTCCATAGAGTTACTACCGTTGTTCCTAATACCAAACCTTATTCCTCGGTCCTTTTTATTGACATTGTCATTGAATTAAGGAAGTTTCAAACTTATGTCTCTACACCTTTGAAGGATTACAGAACTCGATGGCTGCTCATAAGGAGCATTAAAAATGTGTATCAACAACCTTGCCGTCGTAATGCAGGAAATTATTTAACATAAAGATCTACAACTGGAACTCTTCTTTGTGGGATAGGAACAACTATTTGAGGTGATGTTGGTTAATCATGAGTACGCATATTTTCCTTACCCTCAAAGGACTGAATACGCTACTCCACAGCAAACGACCGCCTTACCTGTCGCGTCTCTTATTTTACTCTCATTGGCTTCGATGCATTACGCATTATCATAAATTAAAGTTAAAAGAATTAAACAAGTACTCATTGAACTGAAAACGCAGTTTATTCACTGAATTTTAAATTAATTGGATTTAATTGTTCCTCTTTGCGGAATCTGCTGCACTACACAAGTAATTCATTGTGCTATTGAAGCAAAGGATGAGTGATGCAGTCCCATCTTGTGATCGTTCCACTTCCTCTACTTTGTCACAAGTCTCAATTCTCGCCAATGGACTCCTTTAAGACAACCGCCTTGGTTCATGTATGTGGGTAAAAAACACACGTTTTCATTAAAACCGAAAAGTTTTTGCCATAAAATTTCTTTCATTTCTCAGTTTTGGCAATGTTTGCCTTTATACACGAGGCACACAAAATAAGTAAGTGTTTTAACTGTGTCGCGTTGCTATCTCCGATGTCCCAATGTGTGCTCGTTTACCTCCTTGACTAGCCCTACGATCACCAAAAGTCCATGGCATTGCGTGAAAGAGCAGCGGTCATGACCCACAGTTATGAGGAGGGCGAAGGACTTATGCTATGGTTGAGCGAATAGGTGACAACGTCTAAAAGAAGAATTAGAAGTAACTTCTGTATTAGCCGAGTACTCCGGTATAATGCTGTCAATTTGGTGCATTCGTAATACTTCTCACTTCTTCCGATAACACGTGCCGTTGGGCGGGGCTAAAGTGGAATACGGTGGCAAGAGGAAAGTGATGCAAAGTCTTGGCTCATGAAACTTCTTCAACTAAGTGCCTTTGAAATGGTAGTTTTACAGCTATCGATCTACTTTACTAACATTGCGTAAATTTAAATCCAGTAAGGATTTTCGAGAAAAATTGGTGACAATGACACTCGCACTTGGTCGCTTTGTTGGAGTTTCTCCCCTAACAGCACTATCTAGATTGTAGGTTAGGGCATTGAATTACCCCATATATGTAGACAACTGTTTGTTTTGGCAGTGCGGAAACTTAAGGTTGGGAACCATGTAAACGGTCTCTTCGTTCATTCTTAAGCTGACAATGCCTAATGTTACGCCTCACCTTCCTTGAAGAACGTCTAGAGCCACAGAGATGAGAGAGGACAAACACGAAGCTTTATAGATTGCTTAAAATGAACTTCAATTTCGCCTAGTGAATCAAGAGGCAGTACGCACTATGATGTGCAGTATCCATATGGGAGGATAAAGTGCTACAGAATGGAGATACTCCTAGGATCCAGAGTATGCAAATAGACAGACCCTGATAGGCAAAAGTATGTATACATTGTCGAAAAGTGGGACTATATTGAGTAACGTGGGATTGTTGTAAAGAAGGAGAACAGTGAAACAACTTTGCCCTACTTTCTTCTCCCTAATTTGTACATTAACGCTTGTTTTAATTTTACTACTTGCCACAAATCAGTAGACTGTTCCTTTCACGGCCTTCTTTGCGAAGGACAGCCTTGCAATGGCCCCAAAAAACGTAATTTCGCTTCCAGCCGCTTGTTGATTATAACAAATCATCCTCAGATTAAGGATCCTTCTGAAAAATGAAGACTGACTGTTGGATGTGGAACTATAGGCTTGAATTT